TAGGAATCACTTATTCTTATAAAATATTAAAATGCATACATGAAAATAATAAAGTTAAAAATTTTAAAATTTTAAGAGTCTGTTTGGTATTCAACTTGAATTCAACTTTTTAAACTCAAAAACAGAATTTGAGTCCAAAACAAAAAATACATGTTTGGTAGCCCTATTTTTAAAAACTCAAACTCAAGAACAACTAAAAAACCCCCTTAATTATTAAAAACAAAAAATATCTGTTTTTTCAGTTTTTTTCTAACAACCCACAAGTTCTCAAATTTTTAAGAATTGAAAATAGTTTTCAAGTTGCATACCAAATAAGTTTTTGAATCTTAAAAATAGATTTAAGAACTCCTTGTTTTTAAAAAAAATCAAAGTTTTTGAGTTCCCTATTTAAATAGGATACCAAACGCCCCCTAAGTGCTCCAAGTTGAAAATTGAGGGAAGTCAAGTGATTTTAGCCATTTTAGAAGCACTTTCAAATAGATCATGAAAACTAAATAGTCGACATAAAACTTAACTTCTCTAAAAATGCATTTCAATATGGCATCATCAAAGAAATGAACAAAAACATTTCAATGATTTTCCACATCACTTCCCTTGAATTCTCGATAATACGCTCAATACAGACTCACCTTAAACTTCAATTAAAAAAAAAAGTAGTTTAAATGATTTGGAGAGAATTGCTATAACATGTTGAGTGGATTAAACCCCATCAAGGCTCTAAGGTTTAGTGTACGAGATTAGGCATCATGTAAATGTATTTCTCTAGATCTTGACACACAATTATTGGTTGTATTACAACTACTTGTTCCACGCATGTCTTCTTCAGATCTTAATTTTGGTCCATTGAAGATAAAATCAACAATTCCTGCCGTGATGTTCTTTTCCAACAAATACATACAATACAAGTGAAAACAAAAATAAATAAAAACTCCGTCATAGTCCAAGTCCAAAGCATCCCAATCCTACCGATCACCCATTGTCTGTAATCTGCAGGGATAGATCCAAGCTCCCGTTATTATCCATCTTTCCTCTTATCTGATTTTTTCTTTCTTTCTTTGGCCCACCTTAAAAAGGATTAATGACGTGATATATCAGTCAGTAGGGAAGTGATAATTTTCTCACTGTTTCCCAGATAATTTTCTCCATCGAATTTACTTTTGTGTTAAAAGAACACGGAGAAAAAGGTAGCTATTGAGTCGTCTCTTTCATTTCATATACAGTCTTTATGATCGCAGAGTCACACAATTTCTATCACCACATGCGTTGATGTTCCTCCGAAAGTGAGTGGGCAGAGTTGAGGCTTGTGTTAAGCATAATGGGTTGTGTTCTCAAAGGAATTTACAATTGGGAGAATGAAGTTTCTTTTTTATAAAACAAATGGGGAGAATGAGGAAAACATGCCTATCTATCTGTTTAGGGTCAAGATAAGTGCGGTAGGTATAAGCATGTTTTTTATGCGGTTGAGCTAAAAGAGAGGTGTCGTCTATTTTCTATTATTCTTCTCCCATTGAAATGATGTCTTTCTCAAAAAAGTTTACGTTTCTAAAGAAAAACTTGAGGTCTTACACAAAAAGGGCCACTAACTAATTATAAAGCACCACTTTTAAAACGGGTGTCACGCTTCAAATTGGATGTAAAGTAACATATTAAAAACGTGAAATTATAATATTTAAATTTGACGTTAATACTAAGAGTAATGCACTTTTAAGATATTTGTATACCAAATTATCATACTACCTTATGTGGTAAATAAAGTGGACAACCACATCAATTAAAAAGTGTCAATAAATCATAAAAGAAAAGAAAATATTGCATTAATTTTAATTGATGTGATTATCCACCTCATCTGCCACAAAATGTGGTATGAAAACGTGGTATACAAATGTGGTAAGAGTAGCATTATTTTAATACTAACTACTAACTAGTGGTGCTTTTCGTTTCAACTCAAAAATAGGTCTATTAAAAAGATTAAAAGATATAATAAATGCTTTGTTGTCTTTAGGAAATTATCTTAAGAGCCAAACGTACGTTGTGTTAAAAAAAAAGGAGGTTATATAATTTATAAGAATAGGTTATCTCGTGTAACACGTGACAACTATAACAATTGACTCACTTTTTGAAAGCAACAAAAATAAGTAATTATATTGGACAAAGATTCGAAACCCACATACACTCAATGAATATATATATATCTCCCTCCTCCAATCATTTGTACTAAAAAACTAATAATAATTATTGGCTCTTGATGTGGATTAAGAGTTGCTAGGTTTAGTGGTTATAACTGTTCTATAAAGAGAGATAAGCAGCGTGAACTACAATAACTCATTAACCATTGTTTGAATTATTCTAGTGTTGTTGGTTTGGTTGCTTAGTTTTGATACAGGTTTTCTTTTGGATGGATTTTTTTTGCCAAGTCTTTTGAGTGGATGTTGCTACAGCTAGTTGGATGGAGGTTTAAAAAAAATATATATGTTGAATTTATAAGATTACAACGATAAATACTGTAAAACGAAATGTCTTTATGGCTGGCCTGTTTTAAAAACTGAACCAATATTGGACATTTGGAAAAAAAAACTGATATTGGGCTTTAAAAAACTAATATTGGGGTCAAGCCCAAACCAACTAAACCTGCAAAATCTAACCGAATCCTATTAATGAAGATGTATGCTGTTTTAAATTGAATCGAAATCGAAATCTTAAAGAGGTTTTTTGAAACTTCTACACCACGAATCTTTGTGGTGGTAACAATCCTAATCGGCAACATGCCTGTAAAAAAATAAAAAGAGGGCTACACTACAGATCTGATCACCTCAATTCATCACTCTTGGTTGTCTTCTCTGGAAGTCGAGCTGGTTTCTCAACTGGAGACGACTTGTTTTGCTTTCTTGGAGCATTTATTCTCAAAATCGAAAATTCCTACCCGCTTGGAGTTGTTAGCATGAATTGTATTCCCAACCAAGATATTGATGCCTGGCATTCTTTTGTCTAAATCATTTTGGTAACTCGCCTGGATATCCCCTCCCCTGTTTGAACGAAGAGGGGGTGACTTGCTGAGCATATATTCATGAATCTGTGAAATTAAAATATTATCCTTTAGCAAGTTTTCATTATGAAATGTTAATCGATGTTGTGTAAGTATTTTACCTCATCAATTAACTTTTGACGTTCATCAGTGCCATATTTTGGAGCTGCTACACGAGATTTGATGGCCAGGGCACGCCTTTTTTTCTTATTGTATCCTATTGAACCCAATGCACCATCTGGGTAGGTGGGCAATAAATCAATAAGTCTAAGTAAAGCATCTCGCACTGCCAACAGCAACAACACATTATATAAAAATCAAGGACAATTTATAATAGTGACTAGTGAGGCTAAAACCATATCCATTAGCAAAAGCATTTTGGTTTACTGAGAGAAGAAGAAAAAGCTTGTGTTTTGGTGGATTACGTGTGTCTTCTTCTTTAGCAGGTGAGTGAGTGTTTTAAGAGATGTATTCTAACATTATATAGTAAGCATGCATAATGTCTCAGAAAGAATGAAATGTACCCCCCACAAACTGAAAAGACGAGGACATCTCAAAACAGATCTCGGTTTGGGTTTTGAAGCGACCATTTTCCTGCAAGTAAAGTATGCACACATCATGACTGTGATTTTTTTTAAAAGAAAAAAAATTATATACACACACACAAACAAAAACAAAAACAAAAAAAACTAACTAACTCAAGTAGCAAAAGAGCCCACATAAACCTCTCGTGAGTAAAGTCACGAATTATTATATTTATTATAATGTGACCTTGGATAATGTTAATGGCTATAATTAACATGTTGGTTGTGATTTTATAAAATGTTTTAATTGATTTAAAACACATGAACTTGTTCATCAACGGTTCATGAGGTAAGTGAAACTTATTTTGTTTTGAATTAATACTTTTTATTAGAGATTTTGGTGTTTAACCATATAACATATGTTGTGGATTAGTCCTGGAAAATGGGCCGGGCCTGGCCCGGCCCTAAGAGGTGTGAGCCCAAGCCCTAATTAGTAACGGGCTTTTTCAGCCCTAAGGAGTGATCGGGCCGGGCCGGGCCAGCCCTATGTCAAATATACAAAGCCCAGGCCCTACCCATGGGCCTAACATTTTCGGGCTTATGATCGGGCCTATTTAGCCCTATGAAATGGGCCATTATTTTATGCTTTATTCAACTCATTTCCACTTCTTTATGGCCTCCCACTACCCGTTGTCTGCCTTGGATTGGATGCCTTTATTTCTTTCAACTTCCGACTTTCAACAAAGAAAAGTTGCTTTACCAACTTTTGTTCAAAACAAAGTTGGTACTTTTAAGACAAGTTGGCAGACAATGTTGTTCCAAACTTCTCACCAAAAACAAAAAAGTTGTTCAAAACAAACTTGTCTAGCGGGTAGAAATATAAAAATATACTATCATATAATATAATTATAATTAAATTAATTAATTAATTATAATCGGGCCGGGCCGGGCTTTTAAAGGGCTTAGAAATGAAGCCCAAGCCCTACATTTAAGCCTTCGGGCCGGGCTAAGCCCGTCCATTACTTCGGACCGGGTAAGCCCACACATCAAAAAATCGGGCCGGGTTCGGGCTAGCCCATCGGGCCTAGGCTTTATTTCCAGGCCTACCGTCAACAACTGGAATATAGGAGGCTTGTTTGGGTGTTCCTTCGAAAACTGGATCCGGCCATGATAAATCCCACCCTCGAAGTCAGTTCCATTAGGGCCTCTGATTGCAAATTGGCATTCATATGGGTTCGACTGAAAACAAATATCAATGATGTAACAAATTAGCATTTTGGCCAAACAACAAGCCCAATTTCAATAGCTAAAAAGCGAAAGAAAATGAAGCGACAAATTATGCCCAATGTATAGTTCTTCGAAAAAAGAAAAGGCTTTTTTTTTGTTTTTGAAAAGGACCATAAAATAATCTTGAAACAAATTCGAATGCTAAAAACAACCATTGAGGTCGAA